ATTTTTTGCTTTGGCTTTCACACTAATTATTACTTATAGGGAATGGAAAGGCACATGAGTTGTTGAAACGATTACATTCATGGGGTCCAAAATAGGAAGCTTATCTCAAATTTTACTTCTTTTGGGGGTTTTGAAATGACTCCAACTTCATAGTGTTAGGTAATTGAGGTGTGAATTCTAATCAAAGTTAAGATTAAAAAAATCCCCCATCTTCTTTCCATAAATGTTAGAGTGAGAATCATGGATTTGGGAATAATTGGTTTTATGGTTCTTGAGTATTATTGGTGATTAATTTGTAGTTTGTTTGGGATATGAATTTACAGGAATATTATTAGTTAAAGAGGAATGAGGAGTTAATTTTCCTTTGGATGGACCGGCGGAGTTGGTTGTGGCGGAGGAAGGCATCGGAGAAGAGTCCGAGTGGCAGTGGTGAAACAGAAAGCTCTTCTGTTGGATCCATTTCTTCTCATTCTGAGAGGTTCTTTGATGATCAGGTCAGATTCATTTTCTTCCTCTTATTTATTATCTTCCAAATGATTCCATTCCTTGTCTCCTTTTTTTTGGTGGTGATTTCAGGGTTTTCCCCTTTCTAGCGTTTGGTTAGGTAGCAGAAAACTCTTTTTGTAGAAATATACTACATTTAGGCAAACACGATGGGAGACGAAATGGGTAAGGGCAGCAGGGGCTGGTGGTAGATCTTGCTTTAGTAACAATAACATATGAAGATAGAGTGGTTGTTTCCAATAGACCCTCGGCTCAGGAATAGGTCTTGCTTTAGTCCACTTGTTAAAAAGAAATGTATCACTTAGCACTGATATCTCAATGCACTTTCCTATCATGGATTTCAACTTTTAATAGCTGCTTTGGGTGCTAATCTTATTTACTGAATCTCAAGTATGTCAAATTGCTTGCTGCATGGCAGCCCTTGCTTTAGGGTTTTCAGTCGAATATTCAAGGTTCAGATAGCAAATTCTGAACGCGCTTGCGCACTATTGTATAGCAAGGAGCCCAGTCAATACATATTATACCTTACTCTATATGCTGAACGCTCTAAGCACATAAGACATGTACTAGGTGACACTTTTGTGGAATTTCAGTCTGTAGTGGTTGAAATGTTTCATTACGTCCCATTTGTCATGGCTGAATCCACATGTGGTCTATGCATGATTCATAGGGTGCTCGAATTACATGGACTTGATTCCTCTATGTGCATATGGATCCGTCATCTTTATAATATTCAGGAAGCAAGAGGTATATGATATTCCAATGCTCTTCACCTTGTTATTGCTGTAACTTTTCCCCACACTTCTGCTTTTGCTGAAAATAGAAAGAGGGAGATGAAGTACATTAGAAAAATACTGCAAAGGAATAATTGTTGTTTTAAAGACGGATATGATACTGAAAATTGGTGTAGTGAACTCCTGGTTTGTGCTTACTGATATGGATCCTTTATTTGTTTCGAAAGGCTCTTCAAAATCATAACACTCAATCACCTGAAGTCACATCTAAAACTGCTCCCAGCGATGAAGAACTTAGTGAAACTGTCAAGACTTTGTCAGCTAAATTGTCAGAAGCTCTTGTGAACGTCCGTGAGAAGGAAGATTTGGTAAAGCAGCATGCAAAAGTAGCCGAGGAAGCTGTCTCAGGTAGAATCTTATTTCCTTGAACGTGGAACTTATGCTGGAACTCATTCAGCTATTTTACTAGTTGCCTTCAATACTAGTCGTTGACAATACCAGTATGATTTTGGTCCTTCCTCCATATTTTAATAGTTAAAGGACACTGAAAGAATGAGCCAATGTTGACACTACTAAAAAAAAAGGGCAGCCCGGTGCACTAAGCTCCCGCTAAGCGCGGGGTCCAGGGAAGGGCCGAACCACAAGGGTCTACTGTACGCAGCCTTACCCTGCATTTCTGCAAGAGACTGTTTCCACGGCTCGAACCACAAGGGTCTAATTTTATTATTGTAGTTGAGCGCAACATTATGTAGTATCATCTATCATATTAAGGGTCTCGGGCTTTTGCACAAGCATAAATCATTGGTTGACTCTTTATTTACAGTGTCTGCAACAGTTCTTGAGGAAGATATGTTGTAGTTTTTTGAGTTTTCCATTTACTTGGGCTGTGCTATGTCAATGAAGTTTAAGGATTCATATTCAATGAATTGGTTGTGCAACTGGAGATCCAAGCTCCTTTGCAGCTTGTGCTGAAGTTTGTTTAATTCCAAATAGTTGAAGTCGAATCCTAAAATGGAATTTTTAAATAGTTGAAGTCTGAAGTAAAGCAGTTAATAGTTTTTGCATAATTGATTGAACATGGTATATAATGTCTGCCAGTGGGTTCTTTGCTTTTTTGACATTTGTTCTGGTAAATAATTATTCTATAAGGATGGGAGAAGGCTGAAGGTGAAGTGTTGATCCAGAAGAGATTAGTTGAGACAGCAAACCAGAAGAACTCAATCCTTGAAGAGCGTATCAAACATCTTGATGGAGCGCTTAAAGAGTGTCTAAGACAGCTTCGACAGGCAAGAGAAGAGCAAGCGCAGAATGTCCAGGTCGCTGTAGCCAAGACAAGTTGTGAGTGGGAGTTTAAAAAGTCTGAACTTGAAAATAAGCTTGTTCAGCTTCAGTCTCAACTGCAAAGTTCTAAAGCAGAAGACAGTAACGTTCAAGATCTTCAGCATAAGCTTGAATATGCTGAGAAACAGAACTCAGTCCTCAAGCTTGAGCTTGTTTCTATATCTGAGGAGCTCAAACTGATGACATCTGAGAGAGATTTAAGTACTCATGCTGCTGAAACAGCTAGCAAACAACACCTCGAGAGTATCACGAAGGTGGCTAAGCTTGAAGCAGAATGCCGTATGCTCAAGGCATTTGCTCGGAAAAGATCAACAGTTAATGACCACAAGTCTACCGCTGCTTCCTCGGCTTATTTTGAACCTTCCGCTGATAGTTTGTCAGATACTGGAGAACGGCTGTCTACAGTAGAAAATGATAGTTGCAAAATCAGTGGTTTGGAGCCAAATAATTATGACCAGAACAGTTCTTACTTCCTGTCTTCTGCTTTAGTTTCTGAATTGAACCAATATAAATATGAAAAGCCACATAGAAGAGACCTTATAGCATCATCTGTGGAGATAAATCTGATGGATGATTTTCTTGAGATGGAGAAGCTTGCAGCACGTCCTGATACAGTGAGTGAAATAAGCAACGTCAGAGGAGCTCACATCAGTGAACCCATTTTAAAAACTGAACTTAGAGCCATAGTTAGTCAGACAGCTGAAGCGGAGAAGTTGGCAAAGATGGAGGTGGAGAAATTGAAACTAGAGAAGGAATTAACTGAGTGTCAGGACGAGCTTAAGATATCTAAAGAACAATTAAAAGAAACAAAGGACAATTTAATTGAGGTAAAAGCTCAGTTATCTATGGCAAATGAAGCAAGGAAAAAATTGGAGCCTGAATTCAAGGCTACTATAACAAAGCTTAAAGACTTAACAGAACAATTGCAGAAAATGGAGGCTGAGATTGTGGAGCTCAAAGCACAGTTATCCGTGGCAAATGAAGTAAAGAAGAAGGCTGAGGCAGAAGTCGAATCTGCCAACACTAGGCTCAAGAATTTAGTTGAACGCTTAGAAGAAGCAGAGGTCGATGCAGCGGAATTCCAAGCTCAGCTCATTACAGCTAATGAAGCAAAGAGAGCTGCTGAGGTTGAAGT